TGAGTAACTCTTGTATTGTATTGTATGTATTGTACTATTATTATATAATTCGTTACACTGTGGCTGTGTTGTGTGTGTTAAGCTGCTGTTGCACTGCAATTTCCCTCACGGGATCAATAAAGTATCTATCTATCCATTTTCTAACTGCTTCTCAGGGTTTTGGGGGAGCTGGAACTTGTCCCAGCAGGCAACAGGCACAAGGCGGGGTACACCCTGGACAAGACCATCACAGGCCTCACACAGACACAAACATACACCCTCACACCAGGGCCAGTTTTCCCAGAAGCCAATTAACCTACCAGTATGTTTTTAAACTGGGGGAGGAAACTCAGCTGGAGAAAACTCACGTTAACACGGGATGAACATACAAACTTCTCACAGAAAGCACCACAGGTCGGGAATTAAATCCAAGGCCCCAGCGAGGCAAAGGTTAGCAACACTAACCACTGTGCCCGCCACGCTGCCCTTCAGCAAAATGTGTTTTTAAAAAATAGAACCACACTGGTGTACCATTTATAATATAGAATGGGATGGGATGAGTGCTGTCGATTCATGGCAACCCTATGGACAGTTACCCCATCACTATCCACAGAGTTTTCATGGCAAGAGACAGATGTAGATTGCCAGGCCTTTCTTCCACATGGATAGTGCTAGTGTTGTTGCCTTTGTCATGGAAACATAATCCTCCACCGCCAACACCGCCCCATACTGCTGCCCAGTATGGGTTAATAAAGAACCTTGTACCCGACGTAGGACACAAACCCACTACCCTGAGATTATGAGTCTCATGCTCTACCAACAGAGCTAGTCGGGGCTATAATATAAAATATTTATATAGAAACTGAAATTGATGTTTTTAATATAGACAATTCTGCAGAATAAAACAGGAAATTAAAAAAATAGGAAAACATTACCTGTCCAAAGACAAGCCACCTATTCTGCAGGTGATTATATTGATTAAAATGACTACAAATAACTAACTTTTTCATGATTATTTTTTTTTTAAATGGCAATTTTACCAACACATACTAAAACTGAATTAAGATCACTTTATTGGCTACAGTATATACAATTTCTTGATTTAGGAATGTGTCTTTTCGCATACCCCAGCTTGCTCTGAGAGACACACAGACAGGGAGAGAAGCTTGGGGTCAGAGCGCAGGGTCAGCCATTTATACGTTGCCCCTGGAGCAGTTGGGGATCAGGGCCTTGCTCAGGAGCCCACCAGAGTAGGATTCCTCTGCCGGCAGCAGGATACGAACCAGCAACCTTCCAGCCACAGGCGCAGATCCTTAGCCACAGAGCCTTGTGTTTAATGAATATATACATGTATATTATTATACTAATATATTACATGTATATTATAGGCTGTTCTTCATGGTAGAGAATGACTGACTTTTGTGAATTCAGAGGTGACTGTTCAGATCAAAGTGGAACCCTCACTTTGGCAGGTTGAGCTGGTGTTGTCTCAGGACAGAGATATATATTTAGATGTTGTCTGCGGAATCCAGCCAGTGTGCATTCTCTTTGTCACTCTTGCTTTGCTTCCTCCCTGTGGTCTCAGTGCTGGGCTCATCCCCGCATTTTTTCCTCCACTTCCTCAGAGTCCTACCACTCCCCAAGTCAGTGTTGCATTTCTTTTCTTTGCTTTTATCATATTTTTGAAACACTTCTTCAGAAGCAATTGTCTTGGAAATGCCCTGGGGTGAAGAGAACCTGTTCTGGGGGGCCTGGAGACCGACAAGAGGAGGACATCACGAGCAGAAGGCCTGTAGAGAAGTAGAGAAGGGTTCACGGTGTTGGTGCTTTCCACTTGATGCATTCCGGATCCATGCCAACAGATGGCGCTATAGAATTTCCGTGGCATTAAAAGAGGAGGTGCTGCGCTCTTGTGGCTGTAAAGGGTTAGCGGCGGCGTGAGGTCTGATTTTTTTTTTGTTATCCGAGTGATTCTAGGTTTTGGTCTGACAAACGGCAAACCGTAAGAGTGCACATTTCCAAACCAGCCGCGGCCTAAGGTTAAGAAGATGGAAGATTATAGTTTTAGGCCGTCCGTAGACAGTCTCGACGACCCTCCAAACAGCCGCTTGTTTTTAGTGACGAGCAAATCCACTTCTGAAGAGGTGATCCGTGAGCACTTTTCGGTTTTCGGAGAAATTCAAGATATCTGGGTGGTGAAAGACAAGCAAACAAAAGAGTCAAAAGGGGTATCCTTCGTTAAGTTCGCCAAATCGTCGCAAGCATGTCGGGCTATGGAAGAAATGCACGGGAAATGTCTTGCAGAAGGAACCAAACCCATTAAGGTTTGTATATATCAAGTTCCTGGCGTTTTGCATTTGCTGTCTTGTTGTTCAGCACACGTAGCGTCGTTGACAAAATGCGGATGGAATTTCGAGGAATCATGGCGAATGTGACGCTTGCTCTTTCGCCAAACCGTCGAATTGGTTTTATTTATAGTGTATTTCGTATCCCACTAACTTTTATACGTAAACAGTGAAATGCGTGAAGCTAAACTCATAGGCGCTTCGTTAAGCTGCGCTCGCGTTTTCTGGGCCTCGCTCCTCATTTTGCATATAGCCGGAGTTATTGTATATCGTTCAAATACCACTCAAGGCTATCTCTTAGCAAAGTAAGATGAAAGGTTCGTGTAACTGCACCTTTAAACGATTTTATGTCTGCAATTCATTTTGCGTCCTAATCCATTTTCAGAATGGATATTGTGTTTCCCTGATTTCCTGAAATTTGCATGCACTTCTTGCCACTTATGCCTGTTGACGTTTGAGGTTTTCTTTTTAGCTGAGGGGCAGTTATTTGAATTTTAATTTGAAATGTGGCATCCCTTTACATGTCGAAAATGTATTATTTGAACCTACGTTCTTCTGAATCGGTACTAAAAACATCAGATTCGAAAATGTATCCCGAAGAAAAGATGTCTTTGTAAATGCAGCCGAACTGGATTACAGCCGTGCTTTGCTCCTTCGCCATCAAAACGTCCAAAATACTGTAACTGTAGTTCTTGCAGATTTATTTTCTCGCACGCGTTGAGCACAAGTTCCTCAGATAGCACATAATTTATAGCTTTCCTAGGTGTTGTAAAAATGATTAAAAAAATGACGGAATTTATAAAAGCTCAATTGAATCTAGATGTAAATATTATACGTATATATAGATTTAAATATGCATTAATATCTTTGTATAGGTGGGGTAGGTTAGTCCCAAACTGATAGTGAAGTTTATTTTTAATCGGATTTAGGGATTTTAAGACGCACACACGCGGTTGTTTTAATTTTGTCCTACCTGATGTGAAGTGACCAGCCAGACTGCTCTGGTATGATGTCACCTGATGGACCAATGACTGGTGTTTGTTATAGAAAGGCCAGGGTGGGAGATGTATGTTATTTTTCCCCGAACAGATAACCATCTCATGTGTGGAAGGACATGTAACAATAGCATTTCAAAATGTTTTCACCAAAAGCTAAACAAATGGGCTTGCATGCTTGGGGTTCTACTGTAAGGTAGCATGCATTAATTTCATTTTTAGTTCTAAGGTATTTTTTTAAATGTAAAAACAAAGAAACAACATTGTCCTGCCTGGCTATTGATTTATATAATACCATTTTTAATAGTGTTTTTCTTAACAATCCTCTCAAAGTGCTTTACAGGTAATGGGGACTCCCCTCCATCACCACCATTGTGTAGCCCCTGGATGATGTGACGGCAGCCATAGTGCGCCAGTACGCTCACCACACATCTGCTATCAGTGGGGTGGAGAACAGAGTAGGAAGGAGAAGCCAATTCATAGATGGGATCATTAGGAGGCCATGATTGATAAAGGCAGGGGGAACTTTGGCCAGTACACTGGATTTAACAGCCCTACACCCCTTGTTGAATGTGTTTGTGTGCAAATGAAAGAAAAGTAAATGGGATCATAACTCAACCATTATGTTGTAGCCTGTTTGGCAAATACCACAGCGTGTTTTATTCATGTTGGTAACCGTTTTACGTTACGTAAAGCGGTAACATGTTCCAGATATTGTTCATTGTGGTTTAATGGAAAACCCTTGTTTCAGCTACATGATCTGTAATGGCTGTAAAGTCATTGAAGAATGTTAACGTGTATTCAACATAATTTTCAAACCGGTGTCTGTAAGTTACTCCTGTGTCCCCTGTTTTAGACTGTCATCTCATCCAGGGTGTACACTTGTCTTGAGCAAGGTGCCGGCTGGGTTAGGCCCTTCCTTAGGATGAGGCAGTTATGGATAATGGCTGCACTGAAAATGGATTTTAACTGCAAAGCGCATTAGCATACAATGCCATTATGCTGCGGTTGTAGGAAAACGACATGATGAGTTTGCTGATGTGAAGATGCCATCCGTATTGCGGTCTTGCTCTGGTACTTTCCAAGAGGAGTTGGTTTAGGGATGCTGCATTCAGACCATTGAGATTTCCTCCGGCATCATTATTTGGAAGAATCTCCAGCCACCACCCGTAGGAAGGAAAAGGATTTTTAATATTTTGAAGCATTGTGTGAATGTGGATGAACATCTGTGTTCAATTAACATAAGGCTGTACCAGTCAGATGTGGTTATGATGGCGTTACTGTGTCATATTGGGCAGCAATATAAAACAATGTACTTATTTACTCATCGGTGTTCTTTTTATGGTTGTATCACAGCTGTGGCATACACCTTTGCACTGCTTGTAGCACAGATTCATTTACAGAGGGTGCCAGCAAACACCTGATTTTCTTTAGGTATTGGGGGGGAAAAAAGTGTTGATTCCACAAGTCAATCCTCTGTTCCAAATCATCCTTTCCACGGTATCCTACTAAGTGCTTTGGAAGAAGAAAATGATGGAGCCCTGGCTTCAACTCCAGCCCTTGCGGTAAATGGTAAAATGTGACCTTCAAGCTCCGGATCACAGTGCAGCATGAAAGTTTGAGCCTTTGAAGTGCTCATTTACATCATTTTTTTATATTGCCACTCGAGCTGCTTTTTTTTCTTTAAATTTAGATTGAAAATGGTTTCTCCGGAAGTTCATTCATGCGTTTTAAATGCTATATTGAGCATTTAAATGCATGTGTTTTTTCCCCAACAACTGAATTTGAGAATACAAGAGATTTGCCATTTCACACCATTTGAGTTTAAAAAAAAAAGAGCATTCTAAATATCAGTTATTTAATTTTTTTATGTATGTCACTTTTGCACGGTGTTTCTGTGTAAGATGCTTTTCTTTATAAGGGACTGAGAAGCTCTGTTTAGTTCCTGCTGTGGGTAATAGCTATACTGTAAAAAGGAAGTGACTTTCTTTGGAATACAGCCTTGTGCTTCTACTGTAAAGTTTTTATAAACTTTTGGCAATAACTGTGTATGTATTTTTAATGCAGTTTATTGAAGAAACGGGGATCAGTGTAGTATGTAGACCTTTGGACTCATGACCTTTGGACTGTGGGCTTAGGACCTGCAGCCTCTGTACCCTGAGTGAAGTACTTCTACACCCAGTTTCTACTGCTGTAGAAATGGGCAGCATTGCTAGGGGGTAATCCCTATCATGTGTATAATTTCATATTTGTATAGGAGGATTTGGTTTTTGATTCTGCATGGTGGTGCCTATTGCTGCCTCGCACTGCCTGGGCCCTGGTTTAATTCTGGACCTACAAGTCATCAATTCTGAAATCAGTAAAGGGTATCAAAAACTGGACTCTATGAATCCAGACACTGCAGTTCTAGGAGTCCCCCACCTAAGGCTATGGTTCTGACCAAAACTGTGGACTGCATTCTGCATGGCTCGCCCTAGTTATGGGGGAGTAGGTGATATTTCTAGATGAACTGCACTTAACCCCTGCAGGTCCCGATCACTAGCTGGAAAAACTATGTATGCAGATGAAATGGTATGCAAAAATCATCTGTTCATATATTTTTTTTTTACTTTGAAATACAAGTGGGGATTGTATATTGAATCTAAGAGCTGTAGTGTTTTGACTTCTGTTTTTCCTGCTAGAATAGTGGGGGGGTGAAGCCACACTGATCTTAACGCCTCAGTGACTGCAGCACTTCTGTTTCTTTATAATGTAGGGAGCTGTATGATGTGTAGTGGCATTGTTTGCAAACTATCCTTATTTTGAAAGTAAGGGGTGTAATAGCCACAAAAAGGTTAAGATATAAGCTATGATGATATAAAGACACAAAAAAGGCTTTAAATGTTTACTTGATCTGCCAAAAGTCATTATTACTATGCATCTAAAGTAAGTGTTGTGTAGTATGATTGCAATTGACAAATCACGTTTAAAAGAGTCTGGGATAGCTCTGAAATATTTAGAAACATGTTCTATAGTTAGTGAGGCCTGTCGAGTCAGAAGAACTGAATTACATGAAAGAAAAATCCCACTTCATCCATCACTTTAGTGCAGTACCCACCTGGGTGTTGCACAAAGACTATTATTCACCTGCAACACCTACACATCACATCAGGCTGAACTGAAGAATTGTCTGCCCATCTGAATTAAGTGGCATTTGTAGGAAGACCTGATTGTTCAATTCCACGGGGGAGTTTAGCCTGGAAACTGGTTTAAAACAACCTTTTTTTTTCCCCGCTTTAAAAATGTTTTTACATTTTCTTCTTCGATATTCTGAATGCCTAGAAGGTATTGAAGTTTGATAAACCTTTAACATAGGCTTTCAGTGTTTTGTCTCTAATTAGCTCTTAAATGCATTTGCATGCTCTGAAGTAATTTCTCATTATTTCAGAATTGATCCATTGAGCAGTTAAGGCCTCTGCTTTTGGAACTGAATTTGGAAAGGTATTTCTCTTGTGCTTCAAGCAGTATGCAGTATATGCAGTATTTGTTAGCCACCCATCTCAAAATTCTGTATACTATCTTTCCAAATCTTCATTTTGTAACTTCGCTCATACCAGTCTTCTGTAGTGTTAGCAGTGTTACGTAATCGCCTTTTCAGAAATGATAAGCTTTAGGTTTTAGCTGTAGAGTTTTAAAACAGGACATTTTATGAGTTATATTTACAGTATTCCCTAGTGGTTTCTGATCCTCTTTTTCTTATCATGCTGCTTGCAGAAACTAAATCAATTAAAGGCCGATGCCGTTAGCGTGTCCTGACAAATGAGACGAAAGCAGTCATTAAACATTTCTGTTTCAGACTTAACCAGCCTTTCTGATCTATAGGAGTGAAATTGAACTCACTGGTAATAATGGCCTCTTCTTTATCACTTACGTTCCAGAGTACATTGTTTAAAAAAGCACTCTTTTCAGCTTTTGACTTGGTAACATACCCCTTTTGCTAATCCTTTCAAAACTTTCTTTGCAGATTTAAACCATGTAGCCTCTAAAATATTAACTGTCTTCTGACTGACTGCATTTGATGTATAGTGCTTTGAGACGGCAACTTCTGTCTTGCTTTTCTTTCCAGAATCTATTATAGCCACCAATACTTTGTTCATACCCAAACTTTTCTTTCTAGATTTTAGTGACTCCTATCATCGTGACCATGTGATAATTCTAACTTTCCTTTCATTTAGATAGTGCCCTGCATATGTTCCTGATACTCTTGCACGTTTTTCACATTGTAGCTTTAAAGCTTGCACTGTTAATTGCTAGTTCCAAGTATTAATATTTGTTATAAACACAACATATTCCACACTTTCCAAGCAAAAAACGAAACGGATGAAAAATACAAAACCTTCAGTGTGGCATACATTTTGTTTTTAAAACAAGTTGTGGAATCTCTTTTGTAAAAGAAGGGTGTGAAAAAAAAATCAGAACCACTGTATATCTCTCTGCGCATGGTAAAATTGATAAAGTGGAAGGTGTTGTATTGCATAGATCAGATTGTCCAAACTGAGCAGCTGTATGAGGATGAAACTGTCTAAGGATGCCATTGTGAGACCAAAAGTGACTTTGAAAAAGCTACAGAATTTACTGACTGAGATGGGAGAACTCTTCTGTGAGTTAAATCCAACTTGTATGGCAGAGTGGCAGGAAGAAAGCCATTACTCAAAAAAACCCACTAAAATCTTGCTGTCTTTTGCAGTATCCTTTGTATGCACTACCAGGTCTTTGCCACCTCTATCAGTGACTGGTGAGATCTGCATTCTTGTAACCCAGCAGACAGTTTTGTGACAACCACAACTTCCTCTTTGTTACAAGTTTGAGAACTGGTTGCAAATATGTGACAGCATGGATATTTTCTTTTTCAGCTCATTTTTTTTATTTTCAGTGTCTCGAAGAGGAACAAACCTGTTTAATGATGTGGCAGCTGTTAGTAGTGTATGGGTCATAGTCTTTTTAAAGACCTGGGTACAGATGCTTTGCATTTGACTGTCAGTTGTGTGCCATCCTCTGTGAATTAAAGATTTGCTAGCACTTCTAACCTCAAACAACTTGTTCTCCAAGGCTCTGTTGATTGTGGCTGTTGACTGGTACAATTTTGAAGGACAGGAAAAACAATGTCGTGTTTTGTTTCCACAGTCACTTGTGGGATACACCTGTGACAGGACAGCAGTCCATCGCAGGGTACAGATAGATACAAACGGACGCATGTATCGGAGCCAATTTTACAGAAATCACTTAACCTACCAGTATGTCTTTGGGCTGAGGAGGAAGCTGGGGCATCTGGAGAAAACCCATGGAACACAAAGGGAACATAGAAACTCCACACATAGTACCTTGGGATTTGAACCCAAGGCCCCAGGACTGTGTGACAGCATTACTTACCTCTGTGCAACCATACTGCCTGTTTGTCAGTTTAATTTTTTAAAAAGCCTTTCCTGAGTTTTACACTAGATGTTTTAAGGTTTCCTCATTATAGGGTTTATCGTAGACTGCTGATGGCTTTACGTGACTCTTCTGTTTGCAGGTGTTCATTGCTCAGTCCAGGTCCTCAGGAAGCCATCGGGATGTAGAGGATGAGGAGCTGACAAGAATTTTTGTCATGATTCCCAAAACATTTACAGAAGATGATCTCAAAGAAACATTCAAGGTAACTAACCATTTATTTAATTAGAAGATAGCTGTAGATCTCTCAAAGAGCTGTGTTTTATTTACTGTTACAAAGTGTGTTGCTTTCTGTGTGGAATTGGTGAAATAGAGGCACATTTAAGTACATCATGGATTTACTTTTTGCACTACATCCTTCTACATTGTCACCCTCTGAGACTTGACTAAACAGAGATCGAATCGGCATTTTCAAGATAAACCCTTTGATTTCTTGCTGTTATGAAAACCGTTCTCCTTTGTTATTTTGTCATTTGTTTTTGCACACTCCTGAGTGAATCTTTGTTTTCTAGGAATATGGTGACATAGAATATTGCGTTATTATAAAAAACAAAACAACTGGAGAGAGCAAAGGCTTGGCTTATGTGAGATATCTCAAACCTTCCCAAGCAGCAACAGCTATTGAAAACTGCGACAAAAGTAAGCAATACTTACTCCTACTCTGTAATATCTGTGCAAACAAAAGTGTAATTGGTTAAATGTTTCATACGAAAAACAATTGAGTTGTTTTTGCCCATTTGCTAGTTAATTTATGCATGGCTAAAATGTTATGTCCTAAATGAGTCTATTAACACTCCACTTTTGATGGCAGTATTAAAGAGTGGATCTTCTAACACAAGCTCCTTTGTTTTCAGCCTTCAGAGCTATTCTTGCTGAACCCAGGAACAAAAATGTGACCACTGAAAATGACTATTTTAGCAATGTCAGAACCGACCACGTGACCAGCGATCCAGGAATGAATGCATATCAGTTTGGTAGGTTACTGCATAATGTGGTGGACGTGCTTGAAATAAGTGAAGTATACATAGTCACTCTGAATATACAAAAATACTGGTAGAGATTACAGAATATAGTATTTTTGTAGGTTGTTATAGTTCATTAAATACAAGGACATTTTCTAGATGTCAATGATATAAAACTGTTCTTGGTATAGCCATATATTTAAGTTAATGATGCATTGTATCAAGAAATAAGAAACTGACAACCCTTTTTTTTCAAGTAGTTTAGCGTAGCTTTAAAACACCATTTAAATTGTATCTTGTAACATTACTTTTTTGCTTAGTATTTCACAAATATATTTTATGACTTCCCTAGTAATTAGGCCTGATAATGACTTTAATAGTTGTGATAGATACATTTATGATAGTAATAGAATTGTCAGTAATGTGCAGTGTGCTTCTGGAAAAAAACTTATCAACTCAATTTTGAAGTCTACAGAATATTGTATAACTTTTGTTGAACATGATGAAAATCAGTTTTGTATTTCTTTTAAGCATGTGTAAAAGCTTAATTTTAGAAACCCTTCCTCTTGCAAAGGTTGTGATCACAGAATTAAGATTTGTTTCTTTTTCACCCGATGAAGCTGAGGCCGTAAATTACGGAATGGGAGAAATGCGAAGCACGGATATTATAACTCGGTGCTTGTTGGTGTCGTCAAGAGCAAGTATAACGCAGGAGCAAGTTTACAGTCTCTTTGATCTGATTCCTGGGATGGACTATTGTGAGATGCAGAGGGATCCTTATGGATTTAACAAAGGTATTATAACAAATAAAAGGAAGTGTGTTAAAAATTAATCCTGGCTCCAATTTGAAGCACCTGATAACTTGCCATGTATAGTTCTGAATGTGGGTTGACCAAGCAGATTCACTAACTGCAGTTCACAAATTGACAAAAACTGCAAGTCCCTGAGCTTACCCCTTCTACACTCCAAAGCTATCCGCACTTGTCCCTTCTACGTTGGACCAATCTTAGTACAAGCTGACCGCAATGTGGCTCCATACAGAAGTAATGATGGTTTTCTAAACCTAAAAATGCATTCATGGGATACAACATGTGTAGTTGGACCTAAAAGCAAAACTCTTTTCTTCAAATCTAAAATAACCCCTAATTTGCTTTCATGGCCAAAACTCTTATGTTCTGCCAAAAAGTAGGCTGGAAAGCTCTTCAGCCATCACCCATTTTCAGGTCTGCTAAATGGTTCTGAGTGGAAAATGGTTACTTCACTTTCCATAATGGTATAACTATTTCAATAACCATGCAAAGAGGCATTTTATAGAGTTTACTACTTTGTCTTGGAAATATAATTCCAAAGATATTTTGGCATAATTTGTTGTCCCATGAATTTTTTTATAAATGTTTAAAGTTTTCAGTTTAACATTAATTTTATTTTCCCTAGGTCAAGCTATGGTCCGGTACAATAACCTAGGCTCGGCTGTATATGCTAAGGAGAAGCTGAATGGCTTTGAGTACCCTCCTGGAAACCGTCTGGCTGTTGTCTACGTAGATGATGGTGACGACAGGTCCAGGTAAGGCAAAACATTTAGGTTTTCAGAGTTTGGGAATTTTTCCACATTAGTAATGTAGAATTAAACCAGAATAGCATTATTTTTTTTCTACAGTAGTCTGTTCTGCACGCAAATGTGTGATGTTTTATGTACTGTGGATGGACTTGTGTACTGACCTGTTCCCTGAACACAGCAATTTAAGTGGTCTTTAGCTTTGACACATCTTTCATGTAGACTGCTTTGGCATGTACGTTTCTTGCCCTTGCTGAGAGTTGAACTCTTATAGTTATTCTTATTGTGAGGTGTTTTTTTTGTTAAAGCCTCAATTCCAAAAAAGCACCATTGATCTTCTTGCTAAACGTGCAAGTGCATTCAGGCTGAGGTGCAAAATAGCTTCACTGGCAAATCTAGTAATGGTCCACTTTAAGTCACTTAAATTCTTCTTTCATACAACTGTATCCATTGTTTCACACTGCATGCATAATGATGCTGTTTGGTTTTGTGCCATCCTATTGATATGCAAACACTGGACATTGAATTGTATTCGTATTTTCAAGATGTCTTCCGTTCTATTCCAACACTGCTTTTGACTGTTTAAACACTTTAGGATATTTTTTTTTCTGTCTTCCACATCTTGCCACACAAAATACCTGCAGAGCTTTGATTCATAATCTTAGAACTTGGTGCAGGTTCACTTGAAGAGTGAGCTGGCTCTTGGTCACTATAGAGCATTGAGGTGATTTTATACAACAGGGAAGGAAAAGGGTATTGATCATTCAATGGAAATTATAAAAATGTTCAATGCACCTGTAAATGTAATTTCTACTGTATAATCTAGTTATGACATTTTTGTAAAGTGGGTGAGTTTTGAATTTCCTTTTTATAGTAGTTGTGGCCACACATCTGTAATATATGAATACAGTGGTACTGGTTTGATTTTTGCAGCCCTGTGGGGAAGATGGCCTTACAGTTGGTAACAGCCCAAATGATGTCTATGGTGTGGAATAGCCCTGCCGGCCAACAGTTAATGAAAGCAAACACCGTAAGTAGTCGACGGAAGAGTAGCTTGTTTAATCTGTGGATTTCACCACATATTCTGGATGTATGGTGCAGAAATGATATCCAGTCGCAGTCAGTCGTTTCATGCTTGAACTTGGTTTAGGATTCTTTTTCCTCTAGGACAGTTAACAAAAAAAATTGATTTGGGGATTTTTTTCTTTTTTTGTATTCAGAATAATGCGGAAGAGTTTTACCAGGTAACAATTTGATATTATTTGTAAATTACATCAATATTTAGGAGGGAAACTTGTTAAGGAGCATCAGGCTGAGCCCAGAGCTTTCGTCTTGATCTTTTGAAGGGGTACGCAGCAGCCAGTGTTCCTCAGATGCCCCGTGTCCAGACAGACGTAGCCTTGCCTCCCCACAAGAAGCTTGCCCCTTCCGACAGCAGAGTCAAAGAGCGGCTCTTTGTGGTCTTTAACCCTGCTCCCTTACCCGTGGACGTGCTGGAGGATGTGTTCTGGTAATAACCCTATACAAACAGAGATGGTGCTTGGGTGGGGGGGGTTTACCCAGGAAAGTCATTTTAGGAGAGTGTTGTTAGAGTTAAAGGACGTAAATCTACCCCTTTCCTTTACAAATGGGGTTGGCACTGGTATAACTAAAAAAAGTAATTGGATCAGTGTTAGGCTATTGGCATTAGGAGTAATATTAAAATAACCTTAACTGCCTGCATCTTAAGATTGTGTCTGGTAGGGATAGGAGTTCTAGGATGGAAGTAATGGTAATTGGAGGATTTGGTTTGTGGTTATAGATAAGCACGGGCACATAATTAGATGCTTAACCCAGTTCATCCTGAAAATGCAGTGCTGTTACCTTGCTGTGGTTTCTCAGTATCAAAACGCACAAAGCTGAAGCAGAATGTACTTGACGTGGGCTTATCGGTTCGAACCTTTTGTGGTCCCGTCTTTCAGTCGATTTGGATCCCTTGTGGAGGTGTATGTAGTGCCAGGCCGAAATGTGGGCTATATCAAGTATTCTGAAAGAAAGAACGCCAACGACGCGATGGCGGCCCTGCACGGCAAAGTGGTGAATGGCGTGAAGTTGAAGGTGATGCTTGCGGACCCCCCCAAAGAAGAGTCTCACAAGCGTCAGCGGACATACTAATTCGCCATCCGTGTGGATTTGGTAAGTGCAAATACGGGTAAGCTGAGTGTTTACAGAGGAGTGTGGAAAGGAGAGGTAGACCATATACAATTCCATTTCATTACCTCACCATGAGAGTGTCTCTTCCCTATTCTTCCTTCCCTCTCAGGGACTAAATTCTACATCGAATATGCTTCATTGTCTAACCAAATAATGGTCTGTTGTTGTATTTATTAATATAAGGTTTGGGAAAATTGTTGGCAAAATCATGTGAAGCATATGGAATAGTAAATAGGAAAATTGTTTAGTTTTTTCCTATCTTAAAATGATTACATTTTGTTCTGAGTTAATAAAAACTTGCTTTTTTTGAACACTTAAATCTCAGAGGTTTAATTTTTGATGGAATTCACCATTGGTCCTTCCTAAATCCAAGTGAGGTTTTGATGTACATTTTGCTTTAAAAGCAAATATTCGACTGTTTCTAATACAGTAAGGGCAACATAATATATACTTTTTCATGATCAGATGTTTTTGTGTTAACAGTGTACAGGTTCCTGTGATTTTCATTTTTCCCCCAGCATGTGAAACGGTTGGTTTCTGTGGCATTTGCTGCAAGGACAATTGCTGGTAGCTTTTTGGTCCAGTAATCTGTTTTCATAAGTCAGAAAGCAGGAAATTGAAAAAAACACATGCGCTCCATGAGTGCAGACGAGAAGGACTGTGAATGTTTGAGATACTGTATATACACACTTCAGAAAGCATTAATCCAGTTTAACTACTGGCCTTTAAGCCTTGTGGTCCTGCTTATGGTTATAAAAAAGGTAAGAGGCTAGAAAAGTAGAGGGAGAAGATGCCAAAACATGATTAAATGGGAAAAGGGTAGACAAATGTTGTAGTTTACAAATTGTGATGTGGCAGTTTTTCTAGGTAAGACACAAAAAAAAACTTGGAAGGAATGTTACGTTCACACATTGATTTTGTTTTGATTTTATTATTTAGAAGAAAGCTTGGGCTGTTGACCTCTTTCTGATTTACTGAACCTGATAACATTTCAGAGTTGGTTTGAACTCTGAAATTGAACTTTACATTTAATGTTAATGTATTTTAAAACCTATGCAAATATGCCAGTTACCTTTAAACAGCTGCCACCATAGGCTATGTAAAAAAAGCCCTGTGTCTGGTGTGTGCCTAGTTCAGGAAAACTTGATGGCAAAAACAAATGTTTTTAATGTTGCGTATTTATGGTTGTGATGTTTTTGTTTCTGCAGAGATGATTTAAATGACATGACCCTCAACATGACTGGACATAGAAACGATGACTGGACGTCATAGCTACAGACAGTGACTACCTTTTCGTGACATTGCTACTAACTGTTTTTTTTCTTTTGTGTGTCTAGTTTTTATCGCTTGTTGGAGCAAAGAAGTAAATTATCATGAGACATTAATTTTGGGGTACGAAAAAGCAATTGGTATACAATAAAAACTTTAGTTTGTGCTTTGGTTTCCAGTTTAGTAGTGATGTCTGTACCTAGGTTTTTCTTCAAAGTTTTTGTTGATTTTCTCTTTTTTTTTACATTTCTGAAAATACAAATTCATTTTTAATAGAAATTCCAATTATTATTCATCAAATGTAGATGCTCGTTTTTACCACATTTGTTTTCGTTAATAGTCTGTGGTAGAACTGTTTTAGCAGTTATCAACATTATGATAATCTGGTTTTATTTCATTAATATTAGAATTTGGGTCTGCACTATTTCCATTAGCAGGTTTATCTTTGTACATGTGCGACCATGTTATAATGACTTACTGTTCCAGCTTCAAGGTTTCTTTGTTCAAGGGATGTTCAACCTGTCCTTTTTAGACACTGCAACAGAATTATAAAAAGTTTTGCATTAAGGTGTTTTTTGTGATGGAGAAGTACTTTCTGAAAAAAGATGCACGACACATTGAGTCATCCTTTCTGGTTTATTTCTGTTATTACAAAATAAAAACTTCAACCATGCTATACGTGTATTAAGATTTTTTTTAATGGTGTCCCTCTGTTTTTCTACCTGCCTACAGAGCTTGATATTCAAAAGCAGGATATATTCACATTACTAATTTCAGACAAATTTAGACGTTTTTGGCTAAAGACGACATTTTTTTTAATTTCACCCTATTTTTCACCCTAATTCTATTTGTGTATTTCCTGTGAAAGACTATTACCCTATGAAATGTAAAACTGAGAAATGTTTCCCTCAAAATTGACAGTCTCGCCTTCAGAAATATTTTACATGCAGGTAAAATTCATGAATACCTGATTTAGCCTTGCTATAACTGGTATGTCTTGGCAAGTGGCTTATGATCTTTTTGAAATGGACTGTAGTAAACATACTTTAGCTCTGCACGGAAAAAGATGAAAAATGTAATGAGTTGGTGTCAATATTCATACATTTTAGACAGCCAAATTACTTTCTAGATGTGTCCTATACTCTTAGCTCTGCAAAGGCCTTTTTGAATTTTTTTCTAAAATCATTTTTTTCTGGCAAAATCGGGGTGCTTGAAAGTTGCTGTCGGCAAAACAAGGTTTACATTGGTATCTCTCCTATCAGTGTTTCATTTTGTTAAATGAAAATGTATTTTTCAGGACAATGAAATGACCGAAACAGGACAGTGTGAACAACAAGTTAAATCTCTGTGAAAATTTGTATCTGTTTAATCGAACATGGCTGCCATTATGCATGAAGTTCTGTATATTTGTGGATAAGACATTGGGAGAAAGTTAAAAACTGGGTCAGACTGCTTCATGTACAGAAAGTGAAGGTGTTCGTACTATGTTACAGTTAATGTCGATAAAGCCTCTCCAACTATTATCTCAACATTTCTAGACAGTCTTTCTGGTCTTGCAGTAAGCACCTCCGAATGACACATGAGTTTAGACTGCCAGATTAAGAAGATAAATATCAGGTACCTTAATCACCTTTCTTGGTGGTGGTAAAGCTTTATGACTTCTATAAATATTGAAAGGAAAACTCATCACATTCTTCAACTTTAATATTTTTAGAAGCCTCCAGGTTTGTTATGGAGCCCATTTGATGAAACTAAAAAATAGAAAGGGAGTTGACTTCCTAGTCCTAAGCATTTGGGGTTCAGGTAGTTGCTACTTGTGTTTTGGTATACAAGTTTCTATGCTGTAGTAGAGCTTTATTGATTTTGACTTTTGGTGTGTTCTAAAAAATGGACCATGCATACAACAGGAAAAAACGTCACACATTTTAAGCCAGATGTCCAGCTTATCCCTTAGCTTTTAAGTTATCCCTTTATAATTTGTTTTTTCTTATATAAGCTATTTAGATGCACTTACATTTCTTCATTGGGGATGAATAAATATTTTGAATGGATTGATACAGCTGTGTCTGATAGTTGTACCCTGTGAGTGACCACTGAAACTTTCGAGTGCTATGGATTTCACTTGGTGTTGCAGTAGTAAGTTCTTGTATACATAAGCGCTATTTCCAAGCAACTTCCCTGTTTTTAACAAGGTTTGGAGACTATCCCATCAGAGGGAAAATTTGTGAATTAAAATGTTTCTAGTGCTCATCTCCTCAGGAACGCTGAGGGCACCTTTTTTCCCACATCCGTTAGCAACTAGCAATCTAATGAGCTTGATGAGTTGAATGGCCTCCTCTTTTTTGTGGTCTTTGTTATATTTGATTTCAGCTTTTCCTTGCTTGATAGATGAATTAAATGTATTGTTTTATGTGCATGAACTTGGCCTTTAATATGTATTCCATAGTGTTCTGGGAACCTAAGTAATGAAAAGAGCAGTATAAATGTAAGGAATTGTCATTTTAGAAGTACATTTCATCAAGATGTGGCACTTACAAGATGCACTACTACTCTCTTGCGATTTGCCCATGATGTGCTATCATTCATACGTATTTTAATTGAAAGACGTATCAGATTTCCATGCTGTAGATTCATTATTTACAAGCTGGGTATTATGGATTGTGCTATCACAGGCAGAATGAACGTGTTTAGCTTGTTCAACCTGTTTTAAGTATTATATTTAGTCTAAAACCATGCCTCGTGCATGGCATGATAAAGCCAAACTAAAGTTATTAATCTTGATAATCTTGTAGATGCATTAGAGCAACAGTTTTTACACAGATTTGTTTCTGAATGATTTATGAAAATCGAAACCGTAAATTGTACAGACGGTTTGATATGAATTAAAACCACTTTGTGCCTTCTCAACTGTAGGGAATTTTGCTAATTAATAGTACAGGGTTGTGTTGTGTGTAACACATTCCTGTCAAAACACTGCTGGAGAGCACTTGTTTGCCATTTGTTACTGCTGTGAAAACATGTATCACATTATGCATTCAAAGGGGTGAAAATGGTGTCATGTTGTGAAATGAACTGCTGAAAAAGTCGGCAGTTTGATGCAAGCTCCTAAAATATTCGTTACCACAACCATCAAACTAAAACCAAAATCTTAAAAAGGCCATGAACCTGTTTGAATAACATCTCTTCAGCCTAGATCTTTTAATTGCTTTCCAAGAGTAAAATTGCATTTAGTGAATTCTTCAGGCAGTATAATAAGCCAGCTGAAGCTTGAGTTTCTGTAAGTTTTAATGTCATGAAAGACGAGCCTTCCTTATGTAGAAGCTGCACAAAACCATAAAAATGCAATTTAATACTGGAATAACTTTCTTACTGATTAAAAAAAAGTAGTAGTAATATAAAGCAGCAACTTCCTTTGCCATATTTCTGAAGCGGGTATGTTATCCTCTCTGCTCAAGTAACAACAAATGCAGTTTAATCTTACCAGGATGTTCCACTGAAGGAACCAGGACACACACGCACACAAATGGAAGCTCAGGTAAGTTTTCCTGCGTTTAGTACTTCCTGTTTTTGTACTTACCTGATGTAATAATTTGAGTTGTGGAAAATTAGGTACAAACTACCTTAGCAACAATGCCACAGAAACATACTGTAGGTATTTGTCATCTTGCTGAAGTAGGAGATAATTCATTTGAATATTGTTATAAGAATTTACAGAAGAAATGTTTTTTCACTCTGAAAGAATGATCAGTTTTTTTTATGGATAAAATGGTTTCTTGTGAAATACTTTCAGCCAAACAACTCTGTAATTAGTAACAGTATGCAGTGTTACAGAATTACCTTTTAGTAAGCAGGTGGTAAATTAACCATTAAAACACAATCTTGAACTGTATCATTAATCCTATATAATTCTTATACATTCATGCTCAAAGGTTTCTGAACGTTCCCACAGTTCAAAGTTCAACCAAAGTTCTGTTCAAAGGACTGGCGAAGTTTTACTTCACTGTAGAAGTTCTGCTGGATTCCTTGCACTACACACAAGCTACTTTTACCTTTATCTGACCTGTATCTGCAATACTGCATCCTGGATTATTTGAGACTCTGAGTATCATTAAAAATTTCATTTCAATTTCAAATTAAGGCAACATTACATTTTTTATTGGAAATGTCATATACCATGAGAATTTAAAAAGTGATAATTATTCAATACTTTGTGAATAATGTGTGCTTTGTGAAGAGAGTTCTAGATATTGTGCCACTAGTGAGAGTTCATGGTGAGTGCCAAGAGTAAGCAGTGGTAATTGTTTGCATGCATACATAGGTGCCATAAAATGAAAAACAATGCTGACACAAGAGTCCAAATGTCAACTAGTCTACAAAAATACAATCAAGCTGGACTACACACTGAAGCTTTCTAATAACGGACGTGCTTAGTGTTTTGAGAATGAAGTCAATATGGATACTTGGCTTACCTTCAGTATAGTTGGTGGAAGCTTGGTACCACTTGTAAATTTACAGCCTTTAAATTGAACAACTGTCCTTGCGCATACTAAATTCACTAGTGCCTGCATTTGGTTTTTGCTGTCTACAGGTGTTTGATTATAAATATCAAGCATTCTGTGAAGGAAGGGATGAACCTGATTTGACATTTTATTGCCAGCAACTACTGCTGCGTGCTGTATTGTTGTGCATTTAATAAACTTTGATTGACTCTGATTGATTTGTGATTTCTCTGACTTAAAACTCAAAATACTGCGCTCATAGTTTAATGCAACATTTTCGAAGGGGAACTAAACTTATTTAAATGGTTCCTGGTGCCCTGCCCATTGTGCACCCTGCCTTGCAGCTGTTGCTGGCCGGGATAGAATTTGATTCCGGCTCCCCCGTGACCCTGAATTGTATGAAGCAGTTAGAAAATGAACGGACGGTTGTAAATGGTTCGTTCTAAAAACAAGGTGACCGGATTTCTAATGAGAACTAAGTGCCCCTTTGGAAAATGATTCATTGCCAGAACTGTAGTTTGCTGAACAGTTTTTGGTGTAAATGGACGATGCTTTGTGCAATTTTAAAAGTCTTTACCACATTATCAATTGGTTTGACTTCCTTTCAATTTTGTTGCTGTGAAAAATAAAAGCAAAGTGCTGCCATTGATGTATGCGCTTTTGTGCCACTAGATGGCAGAAATTAGTTAAGTTGAACAATTGCCATAGTGTACTGTTTGCAATAGGCTTATCTACTGTAAGTATCTTGCCTTAAAATCTAATTGTATTTACATGCCCTTATTTTAATTAAATACTGAAATGCTTTAATGCATTTTATTTTAAATATAATGCTTGACTTTAAACATCAGTGTCCTTTTGTTATTGTGGAATAGATAAAAGGTAAGAAATGTTTTTTTCTCTATGAAGCACATTTTACATTATACAGTGCCAAAAGAAGAAAATGTGATCTAATTATTTGAGACAGCTTCTCCTGGAAGGAAAATAAATTAGAGATAAGTCTGTTTTAAAGAAAAAGGTGTGACCATTATAACCTTTTATAAAGTCTTTAAAAAAGCTAAAGGATAATTTTAGTTTTCTCACCATTACATCTACTTTGCCTTCGTATATACAGTCATTATAATGTGACTTTATTATATTTTCTTGTACTAAGGCCAACCAAGTTATAATTTGTTTTATTTACAATATAAAAATTTGGAAAGAAGAAAATGTGACCTAGTTGCTCCTCATTGAAGTAAACTGCCGTGCAAGATCTCAGACACTGAAAACATTTGCTTATTGAAAGGCTCGTTCAGTATCGGAATTGTATTATGTTAACATATTATGAGATGAAAAAAATATACTTCTACTTTGAATTGTATACCACTTCTCTTTGTTCAGCTTTCAAAAATCACCATTGTAATAGAGCTGTATGACTTTGTAACGACACTATAAAATGTGCTCCTGCCGAGGTGATTAACACAAGTGTTTGAAATGATAGTGTAAAATGCAATTTTAACATCAGTGGCTTAAAAAGATGTATTGAGAGTGGTCTTCAGAACAGGCAGTTGTTCATAGATGCTGCTGGTTGTGGATATTTTGAAGAAAAATAGTTGACGTAAGCCACCATTGTATTTTCAGGGTTATTGTACAAATAGTTATTCTAGTTTTCTCAACTTATATGCTAACTAATACATTAAACAGTGTGTAGCAGATTGTGTATAGCAAACTCCTCCATTGCAAAGTGAAAGCTTAACTCATCCTCTTTTCTTGCCTTTAAACTGTTACTTTTGGTATTACTGATAATGCTGTCCTCAGCTTGCTGTCTGCTGTCTAATCTTCTGTTGTGTCCCCATAGTTCTTTTTAACTTGAAAACTGCTGTTTATCGTTCTTCTTCTTTATCTACTGTACTTGTGCTTGCTGACAGTTCCACATCCTGTTATGTTATTTACCTTCATTGATTTGTTTTCTTCCAGTGCTGTTGCAGTCTGTGAAATATTTCTATTTTGTATGTATTAGAAATATTAAAATGAGTTTTTGTCCCATTCCATTGATCTGTATAATTATTTAATGTACGGGGTGTTTTGGGGATCGACACTAAGCTGCTGACTGAAGCCCTTGCTGAAACTTCCTTCTTTGCTTGGTCGAAGCATTCTTAAATTTTCCGTAATGACAGTTCAATACTTTCCACCTCCTGTTGTACTGCTCCTAACTACCTCGTAATTTCCTTCAATGAAGCTCTTCCCAAAGATACCAGAGGTAAGTCTCTGTTTGCTCACCCTGGAGCAAGTCAAGTATGTGTTCTGGAACACCTGCAGGTGAAGTCACTGGGTTTTCTTAAAGTTTGGCCGGCCTTAGGTGGCCGCTGAGAAGACTAATGGGCTTTTTTTAGTGCGAACTGGCTGCTCCTGTGTACCTTGAGGGTGGTATCAGCAGAATGTGTTGAGTGAACTGGGACGTTCTTTGCTGTCGGGCTTGCTACGGCCTTACCTACAGCATGTCCATCCAGCCCCAACCCTTCGGCAGCTCCAGGTTACACCGCCACCCAGGAATCAAATGTGTGGCTTGAGTTCAACGTGTAAGTAAAGGTGAATTCCACATCGAAATGTAGAAAGAAGAAACTACATTTTGGCTATTGAGCCTTCTTCAGGTGTGAAAATGCTCAACAGCTGAAATGTTGCATTTCTACTTAATACTTTTTGGAATGGTGGAATTAACCATGACCTTATTCCTTTGCAGCCTATACACTCAGATGCAGCCCCCACCCACTCAAAACTAGATAATGGCTTTATTATCAACAGGCACAAGGCAGGATACACACTGAACAGGACACCAGTTCATTGCAGTGGCTAAACTGTATAGTGACACTATCATTGTCTTGCCTTCTATTAAAATGATAGCTTTTCAGGTCCACTATGGCTGTGGTATCATGTGTAGCACCTCTTGCCATCATCTGTGTCTAGCTTCCAGAATGGAACCCTTCTGGATCCTTCAGGAAGTCCAGATGTAGCTGCCTGGTCAATAACACTGAACAAGACACAGCTTTTAGCTGGATAAGCATGCCATTTTAGCAGGTGTTGATTGTTGTACTACATATTCTTCCAGTAATCATGCTTCCCACCAGGAGGCCAAGTGACCTGAAAGCTTTAAAATTGAAAACTAAACAACACTAACTTGCAATGAATTATAAGAGATAAGACGAGATCACTTTATTAGCCATATACAATTTCTTGCATACCCCAGCTTGCTCTCCATGAGACACACAGATAGGGAGAGAAGCTTGGGGTCAGAGTGCAGGGTCAGTCATTTATCAAGTGCCCCTGCAGTAGCTGGGGTTAAGGGCCATGCTCAGGGGCCCATTGGAGTAGGATTCCTCTGCCGGCTGCTAAATTTCAAGAATGACAAGAATGCTCTTCTACAGAAAAACTGGAAAATAACCTAAACAAAACTGAAAGAATTATGTACAGAAAAGGATAATGAAAAAATTATCTGCAATATACTCGATATTCTAAACATTTGTGTTCGTGATGTCTGTTTTTTGAAAGAGATCTGCTTACTAATTTGGGCAATGTGTAAAAAAATCATAAAGAGTTTATGAAAATGCAGAAATATTTAGATATAGCAGATCATTTAGCTCTGATGTAAAACGGTTAAGTAACTTGTAGGACTGTAGTTGAGTGAGTGACCTGTTATAAATATAAAAGTGAATCGTGTTGTCTGAATGGGCTCAAGGCACAGAATAAGCACACAGACGCCACCTTCCCTCAGACTTGGGATGTTTAAGATCTTATTTCAATCCATTATCTAATGTTACGTGTTCTTGCATCTTACAATCGTGTTATCTTTCACGTTGTACAATGTTACGAAATAAGTGTTGAGTATGAGAAAAGCAGCTGAGCATTAGGAAGACTCACTGTCGGCTGTGTTTTTTAAACGGGTGTCAGTTTTTGTTTGCGATGTTTTTTTTTTAAAACGCCAGTATGATCTTTTTTTTTTGTGTGGGCAAGCATGACACAAGTTGTCCACACTGGCATGCAAAGGGCACCTCACGTATGTTCTACTGCCGTAGGTCGAACTCTAGCATGTCTGCACACATGAACTCAGTGAACTGGATCCAGTTCATCTTTTCTCTCCAGCCCTCGCCCTACCATCCGTTCCAGCGCTCCACTCCGCTCATTAGCAGATGCGGAGTCCCTTACTGCAGGGAGGAGCGCTGTCAGGCACCCGGCTAACTGCATCCAAGAAACGGGCAAACACAGCACTTTCATTGCTTTTCCTTTTAGGTATCAGTGAAGCAACGCCAACAATAAACACGAAAATGATTTTAAAAGAGAGCGGTGTCGGGAAGAACTGCTCTTAACGTTAGAATCCGCCGAAATCTTCTTACACTAGCCGAAGCTCCAGTCATCAGTTTCCTACACCTAAAAGACATGCCAGAGACGGTACATTTCTGGTAAGATTTTTTCCATCTTTATCGTTCTTTTTTAATGGGCAGAGGATTTCATTAGGTCTCTGGAAGCATGCATTTGCATGAATTGTGTAACCCTAATGGCAATGCCGGCTGTCACGATGTCTCTGAGCAGTAACCCAGGTGAATGGAAGCGTTCCGCGACTTGCGGGTCGTTTTCTGTGATGTTCTTGGTGCCACGATTGGGAAGAGCTGTTAAAAGACTAGCAGGTGACGGTGACATTAGGTCATATGGGGGATGGGGACAGTTCCTGCAAACCAGTACTCATTCTAAAGAACACAATACAGGTAGTATCAGGATGGAAAGGTAAGCACGGTGAAATGTTAGTGCTGCTTCCGTAGTACCCCGTTAACAAAATGACAGTGTATGAGATTTTGAACTGTGCAAATTTTAAGCTATCCGAGATAAAGGTAAGTGATCCATGGCGTTTCATACATGCGATGCTATGTATAGATTTAGTTATATGTGTAAGTGCATAAATATTGTTGAGCTTACATATATGGAGACATACAGTACATAAGGAATAATTTTAATATCTCTGTGTTGAAAAACACTTTCTAGCAGTACTGTGCTCTTTAACTGTACCTAAGATAAATTATTTCCTGTATAGCCCACCAGATGAGCCATCGCTTCTTAGCTGATGTCTTAAATGAACCGTTACAGTGCTCAACTCTTTACTATTGATAAGAATTTTGAGCTGCATCTCGTAAAACAGATCGCATCCCCCCACGCGAGGAGATTGAACCTGAAAAGGGTCTGAAGACTGTTCAGTTTTAAACTGAAACGCGAAGGATAAGTAATTTAAAAACAAGTAGTTGGCTAAACACAGCTATGCCAGCAGTTATCTTTCCAGAGGAAGGACAGACGGGCCTGGTTTAACAGAGCAAAAAACGCTATTTTTAATAAACCAAGGTCAAACAGAAAATTTCAGTTACACGTCTTAGAAATCCAAGTGGAGCACGAAGAGAGTGAGACGGAATAATTTAAAATTGGCTCCTAGTAATGACGATAATTGCCCACCTTTTTTTTTGGTCATTAAAACTGCTGGGCTGTTGCATGTGCCAGCCAGCAGTCAAGGTAATTGTGTCAAAATGCACCGAAGTGCTGCAGTAGGAGAGGGGTGTCCTCGCAGTACGATTGTGGTCGGAACAGTTTTGGAACATCTGCCTAGTATAACATTGTAATGTGAGCCGTACAAAAAGAGAATCAGACAAAAATAAACTGAATATTGTAATTTGCTTTTCCCACGGGGGATAAGTTAAACGTTAGGATATAGATTGAATTGATTTTGCTCAGTAACACCAAATCCCTACGCCTTTCTCGTCCTTTCAAATATAAAGCAATTTTAGTTTTCTATAATTGTTTATGCCTTTGCAGTTTCTTAAAATCTACTATAGCTCATCACTGTGATGGATGATTTGGTTTAATTGAACAAAAGTCAAGCTTGATACTGGGGCAGCTTCTCTTTTTTTTTCTTGTCCAGCTGTTGACACTTCAGTCCTGACGCCTGGTCCTCCAGTTATTTTTTAATTCGTCTCATTGAAGAAACCTTGTTAACATTTATAGAAATGTTGCTGAATAAGCATTGCAGTTTGTTTTTGCCTTAGACGTTGAATGTGGATTGAATGTCCTAAATTGGTTTTAATTGTGACCTAAATTGAATTTAAACCAGTGCAGCCCAGACTGTAGTGTTTGTCAATACCTCTATTGAAGCATCTACTTCACCCCCACGTTTCTGTACACAGGAAACTTTTCCAATTATTTACTTGTGCTTGTGTAACAAACTAATAACAGTCATAAAAAACAACAATATACAGTTAACATTATGACTGTACTCAGTTTGTCAATTTTCTATCTAGCAAGATTTCTGTGAATACACTGTTTACCATCTATTTGGCTTACATTTTCTGAAAAGGTACAAGTACTTTCTTCACAGTTGAAAAAGTGACAGTCTTTACATTGAACCTTCCATGTTGAGACCACGGTCTTAAAAAAAAAAGCATGTGGCTTTCTGAAATAGGATTCTGGATGGAACATAAAATTAACAATGGAGTCTCACCACAGTGTTGAATACTTCATTATCTTCCAACTTTTCACCAGCTCTTCTTTTTTATGATGCTACGTATCACACAATGCAGGCAATTTTCATATATCCTACATACAGTACTACAAGCCTAGAACTTTAAAAGGTCTACTAAGGTAAAGTTCTTGTAACTAGATTATTGCTAATCAGGGTTCATGATTTCCTATAGGCAGTGCGGATTATGCTAAGAACTAATAAATTAGGTACAGTAGGAAGCAAAAGACATTCAGGAACATTTAGTCTTTCTGCGTAAGCATAGCATAGCGTACTATTTTTTAAAAAAATTCCTCGAAAGCATAAGTCTTCCATCTTTTAAAGTTAATGTTGGAGTAGGAGTCAGTAATTGCTATTGAGCTGTTTTGTTTTTGGCCCTTTGAAAGGTAAATGTATTTTTTTTTTTATTAAATACAGTGAGGGCTTACTGTTTGGGTGAACAGTACTGGGCAGTTGGATGTTCAGTAGTACCATTACTCATAATGGGTACACAGTTAGGGAAGAGAATGTGGATTTGATTACATGATGGTTAGTCTAGAGCCTGTGGATGACCTCATGTTATCATAAATGTTATGTTAAAGCTCGATGATTTGTGTCCATTACTGTTGAATGACTTTTTCTTAGAATGGTTTATGCTTAAAAATAAAACAGAACACTAGGAGTTTCATGGGAATTGGATCATGAAATATCAGAAAGTATTGTGAAGTATTACATGATAAGCTGTGGTCTACTACTAATAAAAATGGCCCACTAATAAGAACTGAGGTAAACAAGTAAAAAAAACGAAGAAATACATTTTTCCTGTATGGGTTAAAGATTTGATTAATAAGTTCATTTCATTATGGTATTGCATGCCAGTTGTGAAGATTTGAAATACATTTCCTTTACTATTAAATAACTTTCCCAAAACATAAAAAATATATTACCTGCATCTGTCAGGTGATCAATTTTAAACATGGAATTATCTTTTTTGTTTCTGTAGGAAACAAAAGTGGAAGTCTTATTGCACTTGTAAAGTGATCCCAAGGCTGGAAGCTGGCTATTACTTTTAATTATGCAATAGAAGGTTGATCAGCATGAATGAGGAAGGCAGGTCTTTGGTATAATATGAAATGTGATAGAGACTTAATAGACTTTCACAATAGGAATACAATGTTTTTGAACAAAAAGCTTGTGTGTTGCATATCTCAGGAGAAAATTTATATTTAGTCTTGTTTATTGCCATTTTTGTATTTCCTTGGAGGTTCTGCTGAATCTGAACAAAAACGTAGCCTAGTGGATGTGCATTAAGCCGTGGCACAAAGCTGGCTGATACCTCAGCCTTATCTTGTGCAGTAATGAAGTTTTTCCTAGGCAGCTGCTAACGTACAGACAGAATTTAAAGGGGAACTGCAGTACCAATTTCTCAGACTGGTTATTAAATCTAACTAAAATGAACTAATTGAGGGTATCATAAAATTTGACAAATTTTGAATTAAGCCAAAAATTGTGAACTTTGCGAAAGTACTGTAAGTCGCCATGTTGTCGCAAACGCCAGCAAGATTGCAAATTGCGACGTAAAGTGTGCCTTCCTGCTCGCTAGTCACCGTAATGACTAATGAAATGTGCTGTACGCGAATAAGTACAGATTGTGCTGCAGACATGTCACCGCAGAAATGTTCCAACGTGATCTGCATGCAGAGTTAACAAGCGAGTTCCATTTATCAGCAAAACCGTCTCAAAGTTGAGAGCAATATTTCTATTGGATTAAAAGAGACGTATTCACAAGCCTGCAATGCCAACAATGTTATAATATGTCACTGAAAGTTTTGTTGCCTCATTCTGGATCGCAGAACATGGCGCTGCGCATACCTGGAAATCTATTTTGTGATGTAAATTTGAGGTTTTGAGGTTACTGTGTACTTTTTACTTTCATTGGGGTTTGAAATGCACTCATCAATGCCAATTCTTTCTAACTCCAAAATATAAAAATAGCATGGCAGTTGCCCAGACACTTTTTACAGACGTCAGTAGAAAGAATAAACTGATGTGAATGCCTATACAAGGCCCATCCTTTCTTGGCTATCACATTAAGCTTCTTTGCAATCTATAGGTTCTCAAGGTATTTGGATGGAGCAGCTACAGTATGAGCAAGCATCACAAGTATAATCTGGGGATTCTTTTTTTTGTTTGGGTCCGAGGAAGAACACTTAGTGGATAGTTAGACATGTTCCATGACAACATTCATACAGAAATACAGTGGTCCTGGTATCCTTTACAAACAAATTAATTTTCTCATAAAAGTAATGCCTGATTAAGTATTTCGGCTACTAACTGTGGGTTGTACCATTTCTCTTCAGTAGGTATGTAGTCATTTGATGCTTTATTTAAAATACCTACCATTAAAAAACAAATACTGGATTACTGTACAAATGGCAGTAGATGACGTTTTACAAGTGCCTGCTAGTACTTTGTCCGGAAAACTGAACCACTTAAGTAATGAGGTTTAGATTAAAAACTCAAGATGTTTCTTTAATAAAGGTTTGATAATAATTTCCTGTAAAGAAAGAAGTAACTGCTAAATCCGACATCGCATTTCCAGATCTAATTTAGATCACTCCATATTTAAAAATAATGCAGACATTTATTTGACCAGTAAACATTATATTCCCAAATGGGTTTACACATGACTCACTGCTCCTAGTGTTCAGCTTTACCTCCCCTGAGGGAGACGGTTTTATGCTAATGGAGAAACATTTTGATGAAGGGTTGTGTTCTGTAGCAAATTAAACTGAATTCGAAAGAAGATCCCATTTTAAGAGGTCTCTGAATGTTTTTTTTAATTTTTTAAGCAGACCCAATTTTATGTTGAAACCTGTTTCAATCAGTAAAGCACTGCAGCAGAAAGTTTAGTTAAAGTTTACCACC